AGGGGGAGGGGGGAGCCTGGAGACCTGGCTGCTATTGCAGCTGGAGCAGTAGGGGAAGTAGCAGTGAACAGGAGCCTGGAGGTCATAACTCAACCCTTTGCAGGCTGCATGCAGCTCACAGACTGCCACTTGGACAGCCCCTATTTTAGAATGTGGTAAGATGATTCTCTCTTGTTCTTAGGACATTTGAAGGAAGGGAAGGTCTGCATGATAGCTTCTCTTTCAGAGTGCAGATTCACCAATGTTCATTACAGTAGCAATACAAAACTCTAGAACTCTTGGTTCAGAAATGATGATACCTTTTATTAGACCAACTAAGAAATTGCAAAAAAATAAAATAAAATTCTGCAAGCTTTTGGGCACACATGCCCTTCCTCAGGCTCAGGGAAAATTAAAGATGGTAAAAAGTCCCTGCAATTAAAAAATAAACTTCATTTTTGCACAGAGGAAGCTGAAGGTGGAAGTCTGTTCCTCTGGGTCCATGAGTGTATCTTTGTGAGATGTTCTTTGAACAGACTTGCACCTTCAGATGCCTCTGTGGAAAAAATGAAGTTTATTTTCTACCTGTGGGGACTTTTTACCATCTTTAATTTTCCCTGAGGGAAGGGCATGTGTGCCTGAAAGCTTGCAGAAAGATTTTTTTTTTTGCGATTTCCTAGCTGGTCTAATAAAAGGTATCATCTTTGAACCGAGAGTTCTAGAGTTTTGCATTTCTTTTTGTCTCAGAACAACAGTACTACCAAATACAGTACAGTAGTGGAACACAATTTTTATTTACTTCATGAGAGGTATATACAGCACATTTATAGGCTCTTCATTTAACAGGGAGGTAAATACACAGTGAGTTACAGATATCAGGCCTTTTAAAGCCCTCCCGTTTGTGGTTGTATTTCATTTCATAGTGTTATAGTGAGGAGGGGGATAGCACTTCATTGTCTTCAGCTTTATAACAATACTGCCACTCAAAGTTTTGTTTTCTGAGAGGGAAAGTGCTATCTCTGATTGGAACATATTTTGGCACCACTTTTTTGAAATGGGGGAAGGACTAGACAGATTGGAGACCCCTTTTCCTTTGGTTAGTTGTTATTTAGAAAATTCACACTTTCTCTCTTGGTATTGATTTTCCCCCCACACACTTTTTGTGCATGGTACAAGAAAGCTTTTGATCTAAAGCTGATACCTTGTTATACCCAGTACTAGAGTGACAACATGGAAATGGAAAGCAAAGCATATAAGCTTTCATATTAGAGACGTATATGGGAGACATGGAAACTGATGTTTTTCATAATATCTTAATTCTATGCATCTCTTATATTTTATTGGCATAAGGCTTATCTTGTATGCAGTGTAAATTCTAGGCTTTTGAGTAACTTTTTTTTTTTTTATATGACCTTTGGCAGTAATAGTTTTTCAATTCCATGCCTTCACAATTGTAAAGGTTACAAGTATAAAGGTTTGTCTGCTGTTCATAGACACAAAAGGGAAGTAAGTACTTTTGTGGATTGTTAACTCTAATAATAATAACTTATAACATTAGAGGTACGTGAAGGCCTGAAACCTTTTTTTCTGCCAAATTGATTTTCTGAATCAGTTCAAAGTGGGCCACAGAATTTTAAGTGTATTAACTGAACTTGGTAACTTCGGAATACCATCTACAATAAATAGTAGGTCATAGGAAAACAATGTAGAATTAAATCTAACAATTACTGTGGTACAAAATAGAATTGAAATTTTGAGGTGTAAAAAGAGAGTTGTATTGTACTGTAAACTTACAAAATTCAGTAAAGGAAACATTAAAATTAGGGTCCCTCTGGGATGTTTTTGATTTTGCGTTGTAACAGAAAATGCTGTTGAGGAGCAGTATGTTTTTTTCAGAGACCATTGTTGTCTTTGTGCAACACTAACGTAAATGATTGCTTGAATTCCTAAATCCTAGTTAAAGTCCATAAAATTGAGAGAGTATTATGTTTGGAAGAGTTTTGTATCCAGATGGATCTTTGTGCTGTGACGTGGCATGTCAGTGTTATAGCAGCTTGATGGGGTTAGGGGATAAACTGCCAAGTAATATATTTTTAGTCTTCTAATTTTTTTCCCTTAGTTTATACCTCATGGGTTTTTGGTCCTTTCTTCCTGTTTGATTTCTAATAATACTGATTTTATAGGTCTTTACCACAAATGGCTTGTCTGTTCTCTCAGCATACAAATAACTATTGCAACAAGGCAGTCTTTGAGAAAATGACACTTTTTAAAAGGTGGTGTCAGTTTTGGCGGTATTTCTCTGTTGCTAATAATGATCTGACTTCATCTCTAATTTTTATTTTTATCACTTGTTAATGCAGATGTATATTGAGTATTCTACTGTCTTAATTTTTCTTCAGATAAAATAATGAATGTACTTTAGTTGCATAAAATATTGTAAAAGGGTAATGGTCTCCTATTACAGTACAGAAGTAAAGTTCAGTAAAGACATATTCAGAAATAGATGCTGAAGAGAAAAGAGAGATCAACTTATAAGTTGTTTCAGTACAAATGCCCAACCTGTTCTGAGTGCAATGAAGCTAGTTCTTACGTACTATTAAAATCATACTTACTCATAGACTGGTTTACTTTTGACGTCAAATATAGTAGACTTGGAGTTTTGTGCAACAAAACGAACAAAACCTGTTGCCACACTTTAAATATAAGACTCATTGGTGCTGTCATCCTTATGTATATCATATGGTGTTTTATTTTCATCTTGTCCTTAATTTAAAACAAGCTTACTTTTTAAAAAAGATCTATCAAAGTGCAGCATTTTAAAGTTATATTATATTAAAAAATCATGTAGATTTCTATCCATTCCATTTATGAGTCAGCAGCTTCTTGAACGACCGTACATGAATATTAACCAAAAGAATTTAGGGATTTTTTTTAATCACAAGCAACACTTGTGCAACAGCTGCCAGGCCTATCAATGATGAAGTTCCATGTCTTTAAGTTTTGGAATAACTGTTGTGCTTGTTTTACTTGGAAAGAAGTAGTGGTCGAAAATGACAGACTTATGAAAAATTGTGTATTTAAAATACAGATCTACACTGGCATTGGCCTTTAATAGAGCAAAGAACTTGCTTGTGAGGCAGGGCAGTCTTACAGGATTTTATTCTTTCTAACTTTTCCAACCTATTGCTGAAAAACTGAAATTACTAGTGACTGTCCATTTTTTACTTGATCTTACCTCTCCTCCCCCTGCCACATTTTTTTTGTTTCTAATTTTACATTGCTGGCTATCTGTACTTACCAGGAGCTAACTTTTGCTTGATACTTTGGGGCTGTGGCAGACATCTTTGTAAAGATTGCAGATGCCAATCCTTCCTCTGCTCCTTCCCTGCCATGGAATGTCTTGTTAGCATCTAGATCAGACTACTTACAAATAAGAGGGATCTGATGTTGCCTCTTGCAGGGTAGAGAAACCTCCATCTGAATTTTAATGTTGCATTTCAGCTGAATAAACAGAAAAGTAGTAATCCATTAGTATAACAAACCACTGCTTTTTACTGTGTACATAATTACAAATAAAGCTGCTTTGTTCTTTTGATCCCTCTCACTGATGATAAGGCTCCACTGTATATACTTCTAGGCACCTAATTGTATTGGCCCAGCTCTTATCTATATTTTTATGCACATCTGCTACTGTACAGTACAGGCTTCAACAAAAACACTTGTTCTCAGGAATAAGTTAATTTCCATTTTGCTTGGAGGAGCGGGAGAGAGCAAATTGTCTTCCTCCCCCCCCCCCCCCCCCCCCCCCCCCCCCC